CTCCTCCTCCCCCTCCCTCCCCTCCCCCCCCCCCTCCCCCCTCCCTCTCCTCTCCTCCTCCTCCTCCCTCCTCCTCCTCCTCCTCCTCCTCCTCCTCCTCCTCCAGCGCCAGCTCGGCCCGAGCCCCCGCTCGCCGCGAGCACGCGCCAGGAGCTTCCCGCTCTGCTCCGCCTCCTGGGTTCTTCCATTCGCCTCCTACCCGTGCAATGGAGTCGGCGGGTGCGGCGGGTGCTGTCGGCCGCAAGGGCGATGTCGGCGGCCATTTCCCCCCTGGCGCTCCGCCAGACCGAGGCGGACTGCTGCCTAGAGGAGGGCGCAGGCGTCCCGCGCCCAGGCCTGCGTGGTCTCGACGATGCTGCGCAGCTTCGACGCCCTCCTCCATCGGGGGTGCCAGCAGACTCGGCTTGGCGCGGCTTTGGCTGCCGCTCTGGAGGACGAATTTCCCCGCGTTCCCCGTCGCGGCCACGGAGGCGGCGGCCCTGGCGAAGGCGATGCTGCGGGAGCAGGCCGCGGGGTCGGCACCATGGGCGCCCTCGGCCCGTGCGGCCCCTACGACGGCCTCTTCGTGACCCCCGCCGATGTGGCGGAGATCGAGGCCGAGCTCGAGGCGCTCAAGGCCCAGGCCGCGGCCACGGCGGCCGAAGCAGCCTCGCTCGCGCGTGCGGCGGCCACCGACGCCCAGGGCATGGCCATCCCCGACGCTGCGGGAACTCACGACGCCCGAGGCCGAGGCCCGGGAGCAGCGGGCGGAGGCCTGGCAGTGGATGCGCGGAAGGGCCCCCCGCGGGCCGGCCCGCTCCCGGTCGCGCGGCCGAAACCGCCGCAGGACCCTCAGTTGCTGGCGAAGGCAAGGGTGATGCGCGATCATCGCGCCTTTGCGGCCGCCATGGACCCGCTCCGCGCCGCCAAGGCTGCCCTTTTCAGCTGCGGGGTTTCCAGTTCCTGTTCGGCCGCCTGGGCAGCGAACTGGGCTGCAAGGGTGAATGCGGCTCCGCGGAGCGTCAGTACCCCTCCTCCCCGACCCGTCGGGAGGGCTGCGGCGGGCCTGGCACGCACTTCCACTAAGCCGTTTGCTGGGTTCCGAGGTCTCCAACCCGTTCGGCCTGGTGTTCCTCTTCGGCCTCGGGGCGGGGCCGCTTTGCTGCGTCCACGGGCGGGCCGTGCGTGAGCCCTCGCCACTGTGGCCTCGTGGCCGACAGCCGTGGTGCCTCACCACGGGGCCGAGGGTTGTACCCGCCGCGTCCCCCTGACGGCGGGGCCCTCGGCCCAACGCCGCGCATTTTGCGCGCCGCATCGCCCGCGTGGGTGGCTGAAGGCGGCGGGAACAGTTGATCGCAACTGTCCGCTTTTCGGTGCTCTCTTACCTTAGGGCCTCCTGAGGCTTCCTGGGGCCTCCTGGGGCATCCTCGGTTCGTGCTAAGATGCCAGCGCAGCCTTTGAGACGCGCCAGGAACTCCCCATCGGTAACTGCCATCGCGGCTGCATCAGCTGTGCCAAACCACGAGTTGCGCCAGCACTGTTTGTTATGTTATGGGAGGTCGGGTGGACATGTGCATGGCATGGTTGACTCGCTCGAACTGGCTGGCTTAACTCTTGCACTTACTCCTCTTCCTCCTAACCCTCCTGCTCCTCCTCCTCCTCCTCGTCCTCCTCCTCCTTCTCCTCCTCCTCCCCATGCTCCTCCTCCTCCTGCTCTTTTCTGTTTAGCTGCTATGCTGACCCATTGAGGGGAACGGCTCCGGACGACGCCCGACCGACCATACCTTGCCCTGCACAAATATCGAAATTATCCCGGCAAAGCAACCTAACAGCGACGTGAAAGAGCATATCTGGAAGCATTCAACTTAATATTCATGTAGGATTCCTGTTGTAGAACGAACGAGACACTGCTATGAATGGATTTATGTTCGAACGACTCACTGCTTTCGATAACTGTATCTCCAAACGAGACATTGCTACCAATGGATTTACGTTCAAACGAGACACTGCCATCCATGGATTCAGCCCCAAACGAGACACTGCGATCAATGGATTTAGCCCCAAATGAGACACTGCGGTCACTGGACTTATCTCTGAACGAGACACTGCTATCAATGGGTTTAGTTTCGAACGACTCACTGCTTTCGAGAACTGTATCTCCAAACGAGACACTGCGACCGATGGATTTAATTCCAAACGAGACACTGCCATCAATGGGCTTAGCCCCAAAGGAGACACTGTACTAATGGATTTAGCCCCAAATGAGACACTGCGATCACTGGATTTATCTCCGAACGAGACACTGATATCCATGGATTTAGTTTCGAACGACCCACTGCTTTCGAGAACTGTATCTCCAAACGAGACACTGCTATCAATGAAACACATGCGCACAAGGACATGCAGGACCATTTTCCACATCACGGAGGCTACAGTCCACAGCATGTTGATGAGCACCGCTCACAGCATGCTGAGCTGACGCAACAGTAGAGATTGCAGGTGGCTGAAAAGCACCTCCGTG